CGCAAGATCCGAAGCATCTTTAACCTCCTCATACGGTATATCTGACCAAATTCTTAAAAAAGTCCCTGCTCGTTTTAAACGCCTTTTTTCATACCACTCGACCAATTTAACATAATACTGCTGTGCTAAGTCTTCCTCTCCTAGCTCCGTAAACACTCGATGTAAACCACGATAATCATACTGTAAACCAGTGAATGTCTCGCCAAATATTTTTGTAGCTAAAATTGTTTACGGTTACTGAACAGTTATAAACTGAATTGGCTAAACTCTAAAGCCAGCTGCCTCAAAGCACCGAGTGAAGCAAACTTGGTGCAGAAAAATATGCTTTTAAGAAAACCACTCCAGGATTTAGTGAATAAAGTAACGGTAAAGAAATTTAATGAAAAAATAAATAAGTTCACGACAAATATAATAAGCAAGACGTTATAATACCTACAAATTGTTCTAATCTCATATTGAAAACTGCTACGCCAGTAGTTACAAAATGTTACGACATTCTATCCACCAACAAAAAGTATGATTGCCTCCTACGTTACTAATGAAAGAAAATACCAATTGCAGCGCTTTTGAGAAATAAATCTCTAGCTTCTCTATGACGTCCCATGTCGTTCGTATAAAGCGCTGCCAAATGTCCCAAACTCAAGGCAGTTTCGTAATCTTCTTCGCCAACGACTCTCTTCTTTATTTCAATTGCTTTCAGATGCATTTCTTCAGACTTCTGAAAGGGAACATAACACTGTTTTGGAGCGAGCAGCAGGCAGCTGAGCACCTGTGGATCACGGTGCTTTTCAGTATAGTTTCATTTGTAAGTATCTCACGTAAATGCTAATTACTATTTAAAAACCACTTTTATAGTAAATAAAAGAAATGTTTTGAGGATGCTCCAAAAACGATAAAAGTAGCATAGAGAAGTAAAATAACCTTAAACTCTCGCAAAGACTGATAAAGTCGTCCAATGTTACCATAATTCTTTGCAGTAAAAATATTTTCGTCACCAAAACGTTTTTGGTAATACTGCAAAGCATCGGTATGCAACTGCAAGGCTTCCTCCAGCATTGCAGACTTCTTAGATTCATCTACTTCGTTTAAAGCCTGTTCCTCCATTATTAACGCTGTAACTATTTATAAGTTTTTGTTCCTCTCAGTTTGCACGAGAAAAGTGGCCAACAGTCCCAGTTCATAGAGGAAATCTCAAAATTTTATTAAAATATCTCTAGTACTAACTACTAACCTTTCATACGACGACTGGTGGCAATAAGTACGTGATTACTGGGTAAGTGCATTTTATTTAAATATACTGCCTTTTCCGCGTAAACACTGAAAAAAATTTTGAAACGCGAACTTGGATGTCTTTAGAAAAATATGCCGGAATTATAAAAAAAAAATTACAAGAAATTTAAGATTCACTAGAAGAGTTCAAACATATAATGCTCACCTGGCCTGAGAAAAATTCCCTGTCGAGTATTCGAGCACGTATAAAGCGTAGGCCATCTCCTCATAAGCTTGTGAAAGGCAAACTGAAGAGTTACCAAAAATATCTTCCAGGAATTCCACTGCATCCTAAAGTAAAATTCCCAAAATTTTCACAAGGCTCTTTTTAACGGCATGAGGAAATGAAAAGAAATGAATATTCATTGTAATCACTACAAAGAAAGTTCCATGAAAAAAACTAGAGAAGAGATTATTGCAACATAATATACGAGCAATAAAATTTTACTAGGCTTATTTTACTCAATTAATGGTTAATGATCAACATTAGAGAGTTTAAAGAATATACAGAGTAAACAGATACGGCCTGTTTGGTATAATCGAGGTTCACTAGACAAAAAGCATAGTCCAATAAAACTTGTGGAAACCGGCGGTAACAGTCATAATTGAAAAAGGCATTGTGAACTGCATGTTTGATAAGCAGCAAACCAGGATTAAGTTGACGAACACTCATCAAAATTTTAGCAGAAATCCGGAATATATTAACGGTTGTCTAGAAAGTCTGGATGAAGTTTCTTAAAAGAGCATTATACTAACAACATAGGATAAAACTTTGTTCTCGTTAAAACGTCTCACCAATAATGGTAATCTTTGACGGGCTACTGTATTCAACGCATCGACAACGTAAGTCATAGCTTTCTTGTAATAACCCATTTGTTGCCTATACAAAAAGGCTAATTCTAAGAAAAACGTTAGCTGAGAGAATAGCAAAACTGCCGATACTGCAGTTGAGTGTAAGACAAAATGTAATCAAGAATTAGCAACAAACCAAAGGACTGCACATTGAATCAGGACTTGCCCATAATCCACATTTGTACGAAAGTCCCGCTTTTTTGCATCAGCAAAGGCAGAATCAAAATAGAAGGCAACTTCCTTGGCTTTTTCAAAATCGCAACTGCCAGTATAATACACAAGCATGCTAAAATAGTAAATTAGGTATTATAAAATTCTTATAGCGGTCTAGATATTCCTAAATGCTTTTTTTACTTTGATTGCTCAACGTACATCATTGATTTGACTTCTAAAAGCCCCTAAGCTCAAACTGTGGTGAAGTAGACAAGGACTGACTGGATCAAAGGATGAATCTAACCTCAACCCAAGCCAAAATGATGTAGCAAAATGTTTAAAGCGCTGATTTTCCACAAAGCGCTCCAATGACACGTGAAAAATAAAGTTACAAAAGAAGCTTAAAACAAAAACTGGCGAACTGTGCCACGGTTTCCATATTTATGCGTGTAAAACCGTATTAAGCTGCAGCGAATCAAATGGCATAATAACTGTTTTGTAACGACCTCATAAATATGACAGGATCAGCTGCTCCCAAAAAGCCTTTTTCTGAGTACGGCATTGCAAAGTGCGACAAAGCACATCCATAAAAACTGGATGCTGATGAGAGTTCAAAGATCTCGCTCGAGCACACAACGCTAATATTGTTATGCGTGTATACATCGCTAGATTTGCTTTGTTCGACAGTTTAGGGAAACCCTTATTTTGCCTAAGTTCTATACTTTTGAAAAACGCCAGTGATATCATTTCAGAAAGCCGAGAGTGCAACAGATTCAAAAAAGTCAAATTGTACAATTAAAAAAGTTTCAGAGCGTGTAAAAGCTTAAATGAGATGTACAGTCTCATTAGCAAATAACCTAAATTTTTTTGTAAAATTCAGAGACATTAGAGTAGCAATCCCGTAAGAAGTTTCAAAATTGATAAATGTAATGAATTTCAATTAGTTAACTTTATAGAAGTTTCACCTCAGAAAACTACCTTTCTGTTTATTGTTTGTAAAATATGCAGTTTAATTCCTCAAAATCCAACAATTTTAGCATTTTTGAGAACAATAATTTAAAAAAGAACAGATGAGACAATAAACTGAACATTTCATTAATTTTTTTTATAATTGAAAGTGAAATTTGGAAAACCTACTCGGTTAGAACAAGGATTTCTGAAATCAGTGCTGCAAAAAAATAAGGGAGGAAACAATTTGTAAATAACATTGTGCCGATCTTGTAATACCGGCACCCAGGGTCGGCTTCCTAAAGTTTCTTCTGATTTCCATTCAAATACAGTCTTTCCAATAAATTTTTCTTCAATTCATAGAACACATTTTCCTCTCTTACCTATACTCAAAAATTCGTTCTTAGCTTTTATATAAGTCCTGTTTCACCTATTTAAATGCGTAAGTTCCTGTTAGTAACAAATTCAAATTCTTTTTTCCTAAGTCTCACTTTCTTGGCAAAAAATCACAATGCATTCGACTCTTCACTTGCCTCTACATTCATTTACAATAGTTAAATATTTAAAACTACTTAAAATTGTAGTTAGCGATTAAGCTTACTGATACATCAGTTTCTCTTCTTCCTCTTTCTTCATGTTTGATGACAAAGACAAGCTAGAAAACAACATACGGCAGATTTGAAAAGCTTCTCCAGCCCATGAATACGTCAGACATTCAAGAAAGAAATCCCCTTCAAAAAGATTTCCATTATTAAAAAAAAAAGTTTAGTAGATATGTCTGGCAGAAAATAGTAAAATGGCCACAGGAAAGACAAGCTTATAATAAGAAATGCGTAACGAACCTAATTCCAACCCGAAATCGTACAACTGCTTCAGCTTACTGAATTCCTTCCCTCTCATCAAAGTAAGAGATGCAGACTTTCTTTTCATTTCTCGTATAAGACGGCTCGGTATAGGTATAGTGACAGATTTTTTTACTTCCTCGTACATTTTATGAAGCTCAATGCTGTATTAAAGAATTGCTGTTAAAAATTCACTTCACGAACAACTCTTTAACTTCCATTAGAATAACTTGGTATAAAAAAAACCACCGTTTGTCTTTACACTTGAGCAGTTTATTGAAAATTTCCGACTGAGACCATAAAGTTCCAAGCTCCGGAAGCTTTCCTTTTACATAAAACTGTTTGTGTACATTAAAAACCAATTCCTGCGGTAGTTCATTCATCATTCGAACCAAGCTTGAAAAGCTAAAGCCTTCCACTAGGGAAGAAATAGCAATGCTCCTCAAAGACCCTAAAAATGACAGTAATTATTATAAGTCAAATCTTATTTATTTTAAATGTCCCTGACGAGCTATCCCCATATAGATATACAGACATTAAACTAAGATCTAAAAAGGCAAAACCTTTACGAAAAACTGCTAGATCCCAATTATTATTGAGCTGTCCAGAATTTCCGTCACGCCGCAAATTGACAACCTGCTCGAAATGATAATCCGGTTCGATAAACCCCCTATTAACAACCTCCTGTCGTATCAGGTTCCTTGCTTCTTGTAGCTCATTTACGGCAACCCGCATTCTCCTGGCGAACCTATGGACCAGAACTCGAACAGCCATAAGTTCGCGGTACTCGTCAACGTTCCGATCATGGCGCCGCCTGTAAAAAATTACTCTCGGGATAAATAAATATGATAAGCTCATGCGTAATTCTCAGTGGGTACTTTTTTAATTGGCTAGTTCACATAAAATGCTTCCTCCAAATGGACTGAAGTATGGCAGTTTATTTTGTGTAGCCCCATTCTTTAGCAGACACCAACAGAAAAAACATTCAAAATTTATAGTACAGTACGCAGAAGAAAGTAGTTTCTGCTAAGATAACAAAAAACAATTTATAAAACTAAATATACAGCTGCGACTTTAATGTCCATAAACCTCTGATAGAAAGTTTCAGTTTTTACCTAATTTAAACTAGTAAATTGAAAGAAAAATTTGTGCGTTGCGTCCCTTCAATAAAAATGTTGGATTTCTACTGAATTCTTTCACGCATTTTCCAATTCATTAGCTAGATTTCTAAGTGTATCAAAAAAAAAAGCACACAAAGCTATACCCAAAGCGATAAGTAAACGTTCCATTTATTGAGGTAGCAAAATATATGTATTTATATATAGTTACATGAAGCACTGAAAGCTTATAGACTCCTGTTTAAAAGAAAAGTTGCACGGTGTATTCATCGCTTCTCTGATGGCCATAGCCAAAACTACGCGACGAAATTTAGTGAGTTTCTACCTACCAAAGAAAATAGAGACTGTTAATCGCCTACGAATAAGCATTATATCAAGAAGAATGAGGATGGGGAAAGGTAGAACGTGAAGATTAATGCGGAAGGGAATAGACAAAAATACTGTTTCAAAGGTTATAATACTAATATGGGCGTAAGAAATAAAGCATACCAGAAAGATGCTTGTTTCAGTTCAACTGTAATAAGCCGGTTTTTACGCACCAGATTATAGAAAGTGTTCAATAAGATTTGAAAAGAGTACCAAAACTTGACTAAAAATATGGTAATTAAGAGATATATACATATATGAGAAATTCTTGTAGCGGCTGTAAATTGTTTTTTAATTCGTCTTTAATACGACTAAGACTTCCTATAAGCGTAGGATCTTAAAAAATTATGGTTAATGCAAGTTTACAGACTTTTCCATTATTTCAAGTATTCCACGAGGAATTTTTGAGACACTAACTACTTTTTCAAGGTTAAAGAATCTCTTTTTGCTTTAGTGCATTTTCTTCTCACTTCTCTTCGGTTGACGTACAGATTTTTAACGAGGAAGTACCGCACTTTCGCTAAGAAAGTAGGTAAAACAAAAGCTGTATTAAAAAGTGAAGTAATTTTGGGTTGAAAAAGAACAGTAACTTGTCCGCTGTTCACTAATCCAAAAATTCTTAATGTTAAACCAAAAAAGTGTAAAGTTGATAAAAACCATAAATTTCTAATCTTATTCATTTTAAAAACATATATATAATCAAAAAATTTTTTAAAATATGTGAGAATGTCTTTCAGCCTGACATCATACACATTCTCGAGCAGCTCACACATACAACACCAAAAACACGCCTGTAACGCCAATAAATTAAGTGAAATTACAGATTGAAGCTAGCGCTCTCCTTACTCCGTTCCTGCTGTAATACATTCGTTTTCTTTAAAATTTGGTGTCTTTTTAGAAAAGCAATACATTCATGAACACTACCAAAAGAGATCAAAGCTAAATTTATTTATTGTTTATACAGCTGTATAGTAAATCTGTTTGTAGAATTTTCAACATAAAAGTAAAAATTGAAAATTTCCTGTTGGTAGTTTTTGAATGAAGAATATTAACGCTTCCGTAGACAGTCAACTTATTCTCGTTGCTAAATTCACCTTCCAACCAAGAACTTTACTGTCAGCAGTTGTTGATGCTTCATCTAACAAAAAAAATTAGAAATATTTTTATGATCTGCTGCTAAAGTTTCCTTCTGTTTTCTAACTTTCTGCAACCATTAATTTACAAAACTAGAAACTTTCGCAGTAATCTTATCTTTTGCTAATGTTTAGCCATGTTTTAGCAGATTTCAAATGTCATCCAAACAAAAACCCCTATACTTTGAATTTCAAAACCTAGATTCTTTCAAAACATATTTATACTTCATAAGAAAAAACTAAATATCTCATTGTTTACATTGAGAATTGCAATCCAGAAAAATAAATGAATTACTAATTTCATGGTATAACACAAATAATAAAACTATAAAACGATAAAAGTCATAATAACCTTTATTTAAACAACCGTCTACGTATTTATATTCCAATTAATCGTCACTTTTCCATTTTAAAATTTTAAAATTTCAATTCATATATGTAAACAAAAGATTTCAATCTGAGTTACATCTTCTAACAAACTTTTTAACAATCGAGATTAGCTGCAAACAAGAGAAGTTGTCGGCGACTTTAATAATAAATTCATTAAATTAAGTAAATGTTATTGAGAAAGTAGAAATAATAGAGCATTACCTCCAAGAAGCTGACAGGACGGCACAGTTTCAAAACTCAGTAACTTTTTTATTTAATCCTAACAAATTACGTTTTTTAAGTCACTGATTTTTTAAGCAAACATTGAACTTTTCAAGCACAATTCAATGTTAAAATACAGAAAATACGAGCGTCCTTTTGTCAAACGAAAATGCAGCGCAGGAAAGACAAAAAAAAAAA